ACGCCTTTGTCTGTGTAGACTGTCCTTATATTCCCCCTGCATCTGTGTAGACTGTCCTTATATTCCCCCTGCATCTGTGTAGACTGTCCTTATATTCCCCCTGCATCTGTGTAGACTGTCCTTATATTCCCCCTGCATCTGTGTAGACTGTCCTTATATTACCCCTGCATCCGTGCAGACTGTCCTTATGTCCTTGCTGTCACTTTGGCTGTCTGCTGGGCTCTCTGCTCTCCTCCACCATGCTCTGTTTGTCCTGGGTCAGCTTTCAGGCTTAACATTTGTGGTAACAGGTTCACTATGATAAACCCATCTCAAATCACTGGCGACAGCTGAAACCACCTAGTGCTGGTGCGTTAGCGCCATCTAGTGACACATTTCTGTAAATATGCACATTGTGTTTTTTTCCCCATTACAGCATTTACTGCCTAAAAATGTGTTTGTTATCATACCGCTGGCAAGTACAGCTTCTGTGCAAATGGAACAACATAGAATAATCGCATCATGAAGCCCATAGAAAGAGGCAAAAACAAACCTCTAAACCTTCAGCCAGATTAGTGATGGACAAAATGACGCTTCAAGAACCATTTGCTGTATTTTCTGATCCCATTAGATGGTGCTTTCTGTTCAAATGCCATGCTGTCCATGCTCCAGAGCCAACCAAGAGCACCATCTAGTGGGGTCAAAAAATATAGCAAATGGTTCAAGAAGTGTCATTTGGTCCTTTTACCCAGATTTGTTAAGCTGGTTACACAATGAAGCTCCCAGTTCCTATATTCTGCCAAGGAAGGAGACAGTGTTCCATTGCAGCAGCTGGACATCAGAGGGCTCTCTGCCGTTTCACCTGGCCTGGGAGCGAGCTCCTTTAAAACGGGTATTCATAGCTCTCTTTCAAATAACCTGAGCTAGAAGCAGGGCCTCTTTTGGAACTGGAAGCCCCCTCTAAGATTCACCACCAAGCTGGGAACAACTTCACAAGAAGTCCTGTGTCCATAGACACAAAAGGTCATCATTTCTGTGCGTATTACATTCTTTAGAGAAACACCTTTCTGTATGCTGCTTTGCCATATAGAACCTTTGGAAACAAGTGTACATTTAGGAACATTTATTTCCGCATTCATTAATGAGTACATGGTAAGTGCAAACGGTCCATGGCTACAATCTACACTGAACAACATACAAAGTCGGACAGATTATGCAGGCTAGCACTCATTGACTGGATCCCTTGGCACCTTGGTAGTGTTCTAACAATAGTACCTAAAATGGGATTTTGACTCCCTTACAGATTAAGAAAACTGAAACATACTGTTACCATACATCATCAGTACATAGTTTCATTATTTTGTGCAGGAAGAACACAAAAAAGACACCTGTCCACCTTTCCATTCCATACATATATATACATACAGAAGTATGCATTCAAACTGAACAAAGGAAAGATCCACGAGCCACCCAGTGAGATAGTGAAGCGCCTTCAAGGGACACAGCTGAGCTTTAGAGCTAAAGTATCTGCCACACGGTGCCGTCAAATAAGCAGGAAATTACAGCGAAAAGATACCGAAGACTAGTGAAGGACAAAATGATGCTTCACGAACCATTTGCTGTATTTTTTGAGCCTACTAGATGGTGCTCTCTGTTCAAAAAGGGGCACAAAGTATGTTCCAAAGCAAACGAAGAGCGCCATCTAGTGGGGTCAGAAAACACAGCAAATGGTTCATGAAGTATCATTGTGTCCAAAATTACCAAAGACCATTAAGACTCCAGGAACTGCAACTCCACGCACTTGAGAAGCGACACGGAATAAACACATAGAATTCTTTTTCTTTTTTGTCACTGTTGTTTTCCCTTGGATTTCTCTTCCTGGCTGCAGAGCGAGCAGTTTGGAGCGTAAACGCTATGGTTCTACAGACGACCTTGCCGGGGAGGGGAGAGGGACGGCTGTTCCTGCCACGAGTGGCGCTATGACAATGACATCATCATACTAACTAACGGACACAACGGCTTCCCCCCACCACCCGTGTGTCTGCCCTCAGTCCCCTTCCATCTCTCCCCGGGGGGGGGTAAGCGGCTACTCCGCCTTCCGCTTGGCTCCAGGAATCTTCTCTTTGATCCTGTGGATGAAATAAAATGTGATGAAGTACATTTAGCGCCTGGCTATTGTGCGATTGTGTGAAGCATGAGAGTGTCAGGAAATAATGAAAGTATTCATTAGTGTGACTTAGTCACCTTTGTCGACCCGTATAGCTCCTTATTAAACTTTCCAATTTTCATACATTAAATCGATTAATCTTCGAGATATTCCAGCTAGCAGAAAGCTTCTGGTTTTGAGAGCTACTTACTTTCCAACCACACAATTTACATGTGTCCTTATTAGTCCAAGGTATTGATCAATTTGGGCCTGCAGAGACAGAGAAACATGCAGGTGAAGCCTGAGTCTGCAATCCCACAGCTGGCCTGCAGGGGGCAGGTGGTAACAAGATTTACCCCCACCTGGTATTTCTCATAGACCACCGGCATGGAGAACATGGACACCACCGCTGAGGAAAGGCAGGGGAGAAGAAGTCACAGCATTAATATCTTCATCTTGATGACAACCAGGCAAAGGTGATTCATACTCCTCCACATTGTAATGATTGTTTAACTAAATACTTGTACAACCCACTGTTTAATCAATATTTAGGTTAGAGTATAGCACAGAGTACACATCAGTATATGTCCCAGTATATAGGTCAGAGTATAGCACAGAATACATATTGATATACAACCCAGTATATAGGTCAGAGTATTGCACATTGTACATGCCAGTGTATAGCCTAGTATATGTCAGAGTATAGCACAGAATACATACTGTACTAGTATATCAACCAGTATACTACAGGTCAGAGTACAGCACAGAGTAAGTTCTGGTATTTAGTCCAGTATACAGGTAAAAGTATAGTACAGAGCACATACAGTACTGGTATATAGCCCAGTATATAGGTCAGGGTATAGTGCTGTGTGTAGCCCAGTGCAGAGCCCAGGATCCTGTGGTTCCTCACCCATGATGAGCAGGGTCAGGCCGTTGAAGAGCGCCCCCACGTAGGTAAGCAGCCACATGAGCACAGCGAACTGAAAGAGCACCACTCTCTTAGTACTGCACTCTGATTGGTGGATATGTCACACAGTCACACAAAAAAGTGTGTGTGTTTTATGTTTATTACCAAATTTGTTATCAAATGTCCCCCACAATGTGATAAAAGCCTGCTATTTTGACATTGTGGGGACCATTTGTCAGGTCCCCACAAAGATCTGTGAATGCAGTCAAAAAACTAAGAATACCAAAATTCTCTTATTTTGTTGGGTTACTTATGGTTAGGGCTGGGTAGTGGTTAAGGTTATCATGTTGGTATTAGAGTTTTCCCCATAGAAATGAGAGTCCCCACAAAGACATAATTGCAAACCTATGTGTGTGTTTGTGTGTGTGTCTGTGTTTGTGTGTGCGCGTGTGTTTATGTGTGTGTATGTGTGTCTTTGTGCATGTGTGTGTGTGTTTGTGTGTCTGTGTGTTTGTGTGTGTGTCTGTGTGTGCGTGTGTCTGTTTCTGTGTGTTTGTGTGCATGTGTGTGTGTGTGTGTGTGTTTGTGTGCGTGTCTGTGTGTTTGTGTGTATGTGTGTGTGTGTGTGTCTGTGTGTTTGTGTGCGTGTCTGTGTGTGCGTGTGTGTGTGTGTATGTGCTCCAGACACCTGCCTGACCTTGAGAGAGTCCACCAGGTCCTGCACAAGGAAAAGACGACGCAGTTCCTTCAGGCTGCTGTTCAGGTAGTGCTGTGCTGTCTCGGCGTACCTCTGCATCTGCTCCGGGGACAGTGCCACCTCCATCTCCAGGTACGCCCTGGCCAGGGGCATGCAGGCTGTCAATGCACGCACAAACAATACACGCACACGCGGGGGGGGGGGGGGAACCATGCAGCCACTCACTTGAAGGGGTGTCCCTCGTCAGTCTTCTGCACGGCCTGCAGCACGGACTTGTAGACCCTGAAGCTGATGGTGGTGGAGAGGGCGGCCAGGGCCAGGTAGGCCATCACACTGACTACGCTGAACTGGGTGAGCGAGAGCAGCAGCAACAGCATGGCACTCAACAGGAGGCCCGTCTGTTTCACATCCCGCCAGTACAGAAGCTTCACGGCTGCAGCGAGACACAAAGAAGGGGGCGAGATCAGGGCCCTGGGGCGGGGCTATCACACACCAGTGGTGGGGAGCGAGCTCAGGGCCCCAAGGGCAGGGCTATCACACACCAGTGGTGGGGAGCGAGCTCAGGGCCCCGGGGCGGGGCTATCACACACTAGTGGTGGGGAGCAAGCTCAGAGTCCCGGGGCGGGGCTATCACACACCAGTGGTGGGGAGCAATCTCAGGGCCCCAGGGTGGGGCTATCACACACCAGTGGTGGGGAGTGAGCTCAGGGCCCCACGGCGGGGCTATCACACACCAGAGGTGGGGAGCGAGCTCAGGGCCCCGGGGCGGGGCTATCACACACCAGTGGTGGGGAGCAATCTCAGGGCCCCGAGGGCAGGGCTATCACACACCAGTGGTGGGGAGCAAGGTCAGGGCAGGTTTATCACACACAGGTCTAAACCACTTCCTGCTCTAAACCACTTCTTATTGGATACTTCAGCAATTCCTGTTGGATTAAGCTAAGAGCCTGATGTTACACTAAGAGGCCAACTGTTCCTGAGGCCTCCACCTAACAAGCTGTGTGAAGGTGGCCTCACACCGGGCATCAGTCACAAGTCTTTGCATTTTTCCATGTTTCCATCCATGTTTCCATCCTTGGAAGCCAGACCAAGCTACAGTACAGGCTGGAGCCTCGGAAGCCGGGCACAACTACAGTATAGCCTCAGAAACCAGAGAGCCCCGGGAGCTTAGCCCCGTTGTTACCATGATGCCTAGTAACCCACAGCGCTGCCTCAATGAGGCCTCATAGGCTTCCAGCTCTCTGCCTCCCCCCCTCACTCCCTCCCTCCTCTCTTCATCCCACATGTACTTTCTTGCTCTCTCTCTGTCCTCCTGTACCCTCCCTCCATCTCTCCATCCTGCATGACCTCTCTCTCTCTCTCTCTCTCTCTCTATTGTGTTGTACCCTGCATCTCCCCATTGCCCCATACCCACAATGCATTGCATCAGCACGTGAGCTACAGGACATAGACTGAGACAGTTTCCTGCTTCTCATTAACCCCAATAATCAGATTCAGTCAACCGAAATAATCAATCACTCAAGCTAACAAATCACATCATGCCAGTCATGTCTATAGCTAATGAATCCCCCATCCATAACTAATCAATCTCTTCTGTAACCTAACATGGCTGTGTGATGGTCTACACAGAGCATTGGCCAAAGGATGGAGCTACACCCTCACTGAGCACAGAAGCTGGTCACTGACCATGGCTGGACTAGGACACTGGTGCTCCACAAAGCAAACTGACCCATGGCTGAGGTCTGATTGGATGAAATCATGGCCGAGTTCTGACTGGATGGAGCCAAGGTCGAGTTCTGATTGGAGGGAACCACAGCTAAGATCCGATTGGATGGAGTCATGACTGAGGTCTGAATGGATGGAGCCATAGCTGAGCGCCGTTCTGACCCAGCAGGAGCTGAGCACTCAGTGATCAGCATCATGGCTGAGCTTTAACTGGGTTATGCAGAGCTGCTCTGGGATTCAAAGACACAGCTAGTATATCACTGATAGAGCTCAAATGCAAATTTGGTACATGCTGCTCTCTTAAACGTCCACCATAAGACAAACGGCTGCTGGGTTCAGAAGACACAGAGCAGACATAATATAGGCTGAAATTCACACAGGAACTGCAATTGATGCAGCCAGAAACAGGGGCACAAGCGTCATCAGCAAGCACCAGCTAACCCTGTGTGAGTACAATCACCATAAGAGCACAGAGCAGACGGACAAACACAGGATTCCGTAACCATGGAGACCTGGCCCTGGCTCCTCCCACCCACAGCTTAGAGCAACGCAGAGCAGAGCGAAAGGGGCACGTTTGATCCCTACCTTCACACAGAGACATACGAGACCAGGGAGCTCATGGGAAATGTAGCTTCAGAGGGTGCAGAAGCACCAGGGAGGCCCCCCCAGGGCAAAGCAACGACACCCGGCTTTCACAAGAGCCAGAGATGCTGCCAGCACGAGAAGGAGCAATTAGAAAGCTCTTTCCGGAAGGCCATGTGAAGATCTGAAGCTTGTAATGACCAAACCAGCTGTTTTCTTTATGAGGTGCCTATTGCAGGGGTCCAGTGTGTCTCCTATGGGGCCAGCAGGGAAGAGCTGCGTGGAAAACTGCAACCTTCACCCAGAACAAGGTGGCGTTGGAATATACTTGCTGAAACCGGCCAGTGTAAGCTGACCAGCTCTGCACGAGGGGGCACAGCTAGAGGTGACCGTGCTGCTATGAACACTGTCTGTCCTCAGGACAGGCAGAGAGCTCAGGACGCCTCCGCACCGTCCCTGCGGTGCAGCAGCCAGAGCCCGAATGCTAACAGCACAGTGGCGATATTCAGCAGCGGCGCAGCTCTGTGCGGCATGCAGAGCATCTGACCTGCTACGCTGAGCCAGGAGCCCAATGGCTCAAAGCAGGCAGGAGGTGGCGCTCAGGTTATATAAAGAATCAGATTTACCAAATACTAAAGTTTTTAAGTTTTTTAAGCTATACAATTTTATCAATGCTGCCCATTTGTAAATGAAGATCACAGTCTTAAAGTGTAAAGCTTTATTGTCACTGCGAGATGAGGGATTTGGCTCTTAGTGCAAGAATCACACATAGAAATAGTGTGAAAGAAGAGATTAGGGCAGAGCAGAACATCTGAGTGTGATCCCCTAAGGTAACCAGCAGTGTGCTTCTGCGCAGTCCTGACGCTACACGAGGCACATCTGCATGCCACCTCACTCACACTGGGCAGAGCTGACATCATCTCCGTGTTCCTCGACCAGCTCCCCCACAACACCCATGGATTTCAGCTGTGCCATTTTGGGCAGCATCACAGTCAGTCTTTCCCCTGGGAAGCTCTGCAGCACGCCTGGCCAGCTGCACCGCATCTCAGAGGTGCCTGCGCAGCTGCAGCATGCCTCACAGGTGTCTGCGCAGGACATCGCAGGCCATGGGAGCCGTTAACGGAGAGCCAAAGTAGGCGCTCACACCTCAGAACCTCACATCTCAGAACCTCACATCTCAGAACCTTCCAGACTCACCTACATTAAACCCTCAACTAGGTACAAAACTGAGACATTTAATAACATTTAACTAAAATAAAATTATAAATATAAACAGAATTAAATATATGGTTACATATTATTCATATTTTTTTTCAAGAAGTAACAAAAAGAAAGGCAAGAAAAATCCACCTTTCGGTCTCCTGTGACGTCCTCAAACAGCAGGCGAGCATGAAGGACGTCTGTCCCGGCTAATGCTTCTTCTCCATCTCACACCAGCACCCATGACCTCCTCTGGTCTTTGCTTTTTGACAGCTTATCAGTTTGACAGCTAGCCAATCATGCGCTAGCATTTAATGTGGGTAGAACCGGCCAAAGGTCACCAAGGTCTCACAAGAGCAGCCCTGAGCTGCAGCCTGTATTTCTGCAACATCGCATTACATGCATTTCAGCAGACTGCTGTGGGTGACTTGTTTACTGGATGCACACTTTGAACACAGGCTCCTGAGAGAAGGTTTGTGCAATTTGAGGGGTCAGAATGATGGAATCGTAGCAGTGCTGTAGCTCCCAGCCGCAGTACAGCTCCAGGCAACACAGAACAGCTGCCAAACCCTGAAGACCAAATGGACCAACATCTGCTTCGCAGCCTGAACCTACAACCTTGTACTCACCAGTCTGGTCCTGTGACCAGGTCCATGCACAGGTGGGAATGTCGATTACCAGGCGCCCTGATCCGGTCACCAGAAAGTACTAGCAAAAGCTCAGGGACGGAGCCCAGTTTGTAATCCAAACATCACATTAACTGTAACTGGATCTCAAAAGGTTCACACGGCAGAAGCCAAAGTGCTGTAGAAACAGGTAACATATGGGGGGTGAGGGGGGGCAGCTGGCCGGTCAATAGACAGCTAGTTATCAGGCACACAAAGACCCCCAAAATACACACACACATCCCATGTGCCCGCAGAAATACAGGCTCGCTCTCAAGTGACAAGCTGAAGCACAGAGACGAACACAGGCTCCGGGGGGGCGGGGGGGGGGGGCAGCCGACCGCACCTCCTCCGGGCTTCAGTGATGGTAAGCATCGCCGTCAGCGTCTCAGAGCCCCGGGGGGGGGGGCTGCTGAACTACAGCCGCCCAGCCCTGACTCAGCACATCTGACCTGGTCACATGATCAACGAAAATGAGAGGACAGGTGAACAGGACACCGGATCGCCAAACCAGCCACCCCCGCAGAGAAGGCTAGCAGTGGGGGGGGGGACCCCCCACTTCCCTGCATGGAATGTTCCAGGCCACCTCCTGCCATGCGACAGCCAGCCACATCCAGCCGAACCATCTCACCTAAGAGCCCCATGCCGCTTTGCCATGGCGATAACCAGGGTGGGGGGGGCACTGCACACAATAGGTCCCCCGACAGAAGGCAGCCGTGGATGTGGATGCCATCAGCTGGAGCGGCTTGGATCCCTAATCCCCAGCCCCCCCCATCCTGCAGCCCCCAGCCCCCCCCCATCCTGCAGCCCCCAGCCCCGCTCCCTTTGTCTCTTGCTACCGCTGCCTCACCCACCCCAGACACTCACACGCACACACACACACACGCGCGTGCATACAGTACCCTGGCACTTCCAGTTGCTCCAGAGGCACGGGGGTTGGGTGGAGTCGGCGACGGTCTGCATGCTGGAGCACAGGAGAGCGAGGCAGGCTGAGCCAGAGTGGACCGGGCTGAGCGGAGCGCAGTACAGCTGAAGCGTCTGGCTGCCTCACTGAGCACACGGGCGGGCAGGG